GTGCAAGAATCCATTTTGCCATGTAGTATTTTATCCATTAAGTAAATGGAAAAGACAGAAGAAATGCCACATGCAGGTTGACAGGGGAGACAATTGGTGTGTATGAAATTGCATTCTCACACACTGCACTGCACACACTGCACATTGCCCAGAAGGACATTTCCCTAAGGTGATGTCACGTGCAAAGAACCCCATGTATGAGCAATGGCCACACATTAAAGGCCTGCAAAAATACTTCTAGGTAAATAGACTAGCAATCAAGGGAACAGTATTTAATACTTTAAGTGAGTGCATGGATATGTAATTGATGCAAAATAGTGTTTAAAGCAAAATTTCAGTTCACTTTCTCATGCTGAATTTAGGATAAACAGAGCTCTGCCTTTATCAGATTATTTTATTGTGGCAAACCTAATAGGTATCATCAAATACAGTATTAAAATGTGTGTGTCCATTATTGAGCTTTATTAAACCGTGTTGTAGTTTCAATCTCTCTTGGGATTAATACAAAACTCTTAACTCAGAATTGCTCTAATAAAAATCCCTAAATCTATATAAAGTGCATTTGGAATAAGAATTTATGGAGTAAGGAAGTTCAAAAATTGCCTAAAGTAAATCCAATATAAAATCTTGGATCATTGTTTTTATTAAAACCGTAAAGATGGTGAAAAGGCATCATTTTGTATAAACAGAGAAGTGCTCAGTTTGATAGCATGATGTTTTTTCTACAGAACATGATTGTGTTATATCGTTTATACAGGAAGGACTTCAGCTTTGCACAAATAAAACTCAGGAGAATGGAACATTACTTGAATCCTGAATATTGTACAGAGATATAGCAAAACCACAGGAGGTAAAACTCAAAGACCGCAATCTTTTTAAAAACAAAAACAAAGCCAAATATATGAGCTGGATTAGAGAGAACACCACCACACGAATGACATTGAGTTTTCTTTGTTTCTAAACAGTAAGACTTTGAGCTAAACATGATTCCCAAATCGCGAATGTCTAACCAACAGTGTTTCACTCTTTACTCAGAACTAGGTCTTTTCTGTTGTCAGTGGGACTTTGTCTCTAGCACATGTGTGACAAAAACACATCTACGGGCATGTTTGCTGAATGCAACATGCTGTACAATGTATAATGCAGGGGTCCAAAACCTAAACTATTTATAATGTTGTCAAACAGTACTTATTATCTTACGTTATTCAAACCAAATTAATTTAAGCCAGAGTTCTGCTTCTTCCCTATGAATAAAGCATACACTCAGTTTCAATAAAAGTGGTGCTCTTTTTAATGAACAAGATGTGCTTTTATAATGGTAGTTCACCGTACCATAGGAGCCGTGAAGCAACTTATTACTGGGAAAGTGTGACTTGTTTCAATGTGGAACAGCCAGTTGCAGGTGGATCAGTGTTTAGGGGAGGAAGATGGGAAAGAGCCCAGGCCATAAACAGCAGATATGGGAAGGTAGAGAAAGGGAAGTGCTGGGAAAATCAGCAGTAGGCTAGCCACCCCAACCTCCAGTTCATGGACCAGAACTGGGCTGAAGCATGCCAGAAATTGGGCTGTGTCCCATTCGTGGGATGCAGGCCCTTCTGTCCACGGAAAAACTTCTACGGAACCAGTCCTTGGTGCCCAAAAGGTTGGGGACCACTGGGCTAACATATGAGACAATGCAGAAGACAGGGAGAGGGATGAGGGAGGAAAGAGGTGGGGCTCATGTTGCCTGACTCGCCTCTTAAGAACCCCCCAGATTGTAGCTGGAAGAATAAAAATGTTCTGAGTTTTGGTTCTCCCAAACCACAGTCTATCAAGGACCATTTGGCAAAACTCCCAAAATACTTCAAGTTGAAAGCAAAGCTCTTTGTGTTGTGTGTGTGATGCACACCTCCACTTATTACACACTGAACTGTATTATTATTAAATGACAAAATCCATATCTAGTAGGTGAAACTTGAATATTTCAGTACTAAAGGAAAATCATTATGCCCTTGAAGTGTCATGTCCTTCTTTGGGGATGTTCTGATTTTTGTACCTTGCCAAAGTCTCAAGCTTCCACCAGGAGGTATATGAGGTGCTGGCAGAAGAAAATGTACCAACCAAGCACAAAAATACTTGGTTTTTTTAAAAAAAGGGAAATTATGTTCTGGTCATTGCATTTAAACCAAGGGGTCAGACAAGCTCATGTTGTTGGCGCAGTTATTTTGAATGCAGATCTCTCTACTGTAACCAATTGCATTTCCCCCCAATTAACTCTCACCTCTATTTACACCTCTCTTCTTTAATGAGAAAGTGGTTGTTGCACATAAAACAAAGCTACTGAAATAGAGAAACATACTGAATTCTCAACATCAAACACAAAAGAAATCAAAGCAGCTTTTAATGAGAATAAAGGCTTTGCACTTTCCATCCCTATGCCCAGAATAGATACGTTGTTTAGATACAACATGCAGAAGCTTAAGTGCTGCTGCAGCAGCAGGCAAAAGCTGGTTTCCTTGATGGTGATTGCACCTAAGAAGCTGGTCTGATCTTAATTGATGAGGGAACTATGCAGAAGAAACCTGCCTCCAGAAATGAAGAAGAAATAGCTAAGATTCCAGAGCTTAAAAACCAATGTTTGCAGCCTGAGTTTGAATCACAACACTGAGCCAGCAAAGATTGAAAATGAAATTGCATCATTTTTTTGTGAATGGGTAGTAGGAGTGTGGGTGTACGTAACAGAGAGGGAGGTATAATGTTTGATTACAAAATAATTTCTAATATTCCTTTATTTAAGGAACCTTGTATTGTGCTGCCATTTTATATGCTTGTTGTTGCTAGAGATTGCTGCATGCCAGCATTGAAAGGCAGCCAAGAAGTGACAGAGTATGAAGCATTCATAAAGAGTTCCTTGGTTTTACAAAAAAAAAAACACAAAACAAAAAAAAAATCTGCAAGCTGCTTCGTGGTATACATATTTGGCAAGCGCCTCAGCCACATGTATAGCATCTAAAAGAATCACTATCAAAGCAGAATTTGTACCAATTCCCCACCTCCATGCCATATGCTTGTAAAACAATCTACTAAGCCAGATCCAAAGACAGGAATACAATTTTAATTATATTTTTGACATTAACAGGACAAAATTCAATCTGTACTTTTTTTTAAAAAAGTGTGCACATTTCAAAAAGGCAGCATTGCTTATATTTAAGAAAAATCTTAAGAAACAGGGATCCAATACTGTTATACTTTAATGCATGTATCCTACAAGCTTGCAGACAGAAGACTACCCAATCACAGTTGGCATACAGCAGTCAATGCTGGAAAATGGGAGCAACAAATACACAAAAGCTTTATTTGCAATTATTTTTTGTTTCTGTGCATCAACGACAAAATGTATGCAAGTATTCTCAGCACAGGCCCACCAAATCTTTGTTGGGGCATGCTGCTACTCACTGAATTCCAGTAATTGACAATGCACTGGACACCTGGGAGTCAAGTTTTCTAAAAGCTGCATTCGAATTATTTTAACAGAATATGGTGCCAAAAGCAGAATTTTCTGAAGTGGGAGAAAACAGAGCTTAATAGCACATTCGTATTACTTGGGAGTTTATTTACTTTTTCTACTAGATTATGAGTTTCAGGACTGATGAGCTGTGTTTGCAGCCTAATGGTACCTTTTTTTGAACTTCTATAAACCAATAGCAGATTACCAGTCAGGCAGTATCACTTCCATAAGCGACTATCACTTCCTACTTTTTTTAACTGCAGTCAGGGTCTTTATGTCCATTTTATTCTACATAGCTGCAATCTGAGTGTTATGGGCAGAAAGAGTAAAAATGAGAAAAATAATTAGAAACAAGTACCTAGAATAATGTGCCCTGACAGCATGGTGACATATTTAACCCTCTTTTTCCATGGCCCCACTACAGGGCTGACTTGGAGCACCTGGTTTAAGACAAAACCATTGTGGGATAGGTGGGTTGGTAGCAATGTATTGTTTATGTCTCAACCACCATCTATATTACGCCTCCTCCTTCCCCTCTTACTTTACAGTTAGTTCTTGATTTACGATCAGAATTCCCATTGCTTAAGCAGGATGGTTTTTTAAGTTTTTAAGTCATGCAACTTAAAACTTCCTTTTGCCATAGCTGCGAAGCAGTTGTTTAATGAATCATGCGGACATTAAGCAAAGACAGCCTTTCCCATTGACTTTGTTTGTTGGAAGCTGACTGGGAAGGTCGCAAATGAAGTTCACATGATCCTGGGAGGCTGAAATGAACCACTGTAAATACAAACCGATTGCTAAGCACCCACATTTTGATTACACGTTCACAGGAATGCTGTAACAGTCATTAAGTATGAGGAGCAGTCATGAATCACTTTATTTGGTGAATTTGTAACTTCAAATGATTTGGTAAATAATTGTGGTTGTAAGCCGAGGACTACCTGTACTTTAGCATGTCATGCAAACACTCCTTGATTTTGTGGGAGAAAAGCGCTAACACATACATACAAGCTCTTTCCTGCTCTTAACCCAAACTAGTATCAGAAATAAGCACAATCACATAGACCACAATTTTATCACATTCTCTGCTCTTTCCTTCTACAAGGTCTTTTGATTCGGGGAAGGATAATTAAACTGTTTATATTAAGAGTGCTATAATTATGACGTTGATAGAGAGCTATGATTCTTTGAAAAAAAATCTTCCTAGCTCTGGCAACATCTTCTGAGTCCTTCTCATTAATAGACTTCAACTTTTAGACATGTAGCTCCTTCCCTGGGAATACTTCCTGGGTCAGAGGTGAAGAGAGGGAGAAGCAAGAAAACAGTGAGATTCCTTGTGCAAATATCAACATGCTAAGGTGGTTTTCCTTCAGTAGATTCCCACTGTTGTTAGGAATTTTCAGGGATGTTGGGAGAAAAGATGAAAGCTCCTGTATATAAGGGCTTTTTAAATCCATTCTGAAATTATAGGAAGGTCATACTTAAAACAGTGTTTTTCTGCCCTAGAAAAGCTGGCTACACCAATTTTTTTGGTCTTTGCAACTTTTACATTTTTCTGTGTTTTATACAAAAGCCCCTATCCACAGGAATGAAACCTCTCAAGTGGAATGATTCCCTCCAGATACTCAAGTAAACATGGACGAAATGCTTACCTTCATTCTCAGAGGTGTGAAACTCTATGCAAAAAAAAAAAAAAAAACCAGAAACAAAAAGGGTGAGGGATGAAGTGAGATAATAATGGAAAGCAGAAAGCATGCAACCAGAACACATTTTTATCCAATTTTACATCCGCAAGAATTTTGCTAATAAATGTATTCCCTGCCCAACCTTTCATTTGGAATATCATACCAGGTTTTATTATTTATTTTAAAACATTTAAATGCTGTACTCTCTTTACCACTTCTGAATCCTACTTTTCCAACACTTCATTCAGTACACTGTATTAGAGGAGATATCAAGAGAAATGGCAATAACAAAACTGTAAGAATATGTTGGGAGGCTAGTATGCAAATGGTAGCAATTTGCTACTTCTGTATTTTCTCATAATAACCTAGGGAAATTAATTACGGGTCCTTATAGTCAAGCTTCAAAAAGAGCTGAACTAATATAGTTTGCCCAGTGTGATTCAAGGCTGTGCTTGACTTTAGCTCAAGTCTCTGAGGTCCACTTTCTGTGTTAAATAAGAATACAGCTAAATTCCCATTTTTAAGTAGTGGTAGGCACTCTATAAACATTAGCATAGTTATCTGCTGAAGAGACATTAACTTTGGCTCCTTGGAAGTCTATCTCGCATCCATATTTTGAAAACAAAACCTTAAAATTCATTAAAAGAGTTTAAATGAAATACACATTAAAAATCAATGTTAAGATTTTTATGCATAGAAAACAGATTTAAAGGAACGGGTTTTTTTCTTAAGACTTTAGCAATATGCAGTTTGTAAGCTTAATACACAGCTGGGAGAAGTACAAACCGTAAACAAATTAAAGAAGCCACAACCCCACCAAGGTTAAGCTGATGTAGCGAGCACTGGATCCAGTACCAAAGACCTCTTGTTTCTTAACAATTTTCTACTAGCGAAAACCCATTTTGTCATATGCAGTAGAAGATTTCACTCTTTATTTCTTACAGATGAACTCGCCAGGTTTTTATCCTTACATATATTGTCTTGCATATCCGATGATATATTTGTTGAATCATTTTTAGTCTCACATGAATCTTTTTCTGTATCTTCCAAATGTTTACAGTCTTGGCTAACGTTTTCCTTGTTTTTGCCTTTATGTTTTTTTAAGTGAGAAATAGTCTCCTTCTGATTCAAAGGCTCAACAATGTCCATTTTAGAGTTGTGACATTCAGCACTACTATTTTTTACCATACTGCTCTGCTTAACAACTTCAGGCGAGCCAGTTTTCTTACTCTGATCACTATCGGTACCGTTTTTAATATGCTCTGTTTTTTTCTCGTCATTTGTTTTATTCCTTGAGTTACAAATTTCAGATACGTTCTTGAGCTCTTTTGTCTTTTTATGCTTACAAGTAGAGCTGTTGCGAAGGGACACTGGTGAAGCCAGCTTTTTACTTGGTTTGCTCCCTTCTGGCTTCTGTTTCTTTGGTGGTCCCCATATGAAATGGTCAGAAGGTGTGTAGTGCTGTTGGGCAAACCGTAGGAGTTTTCTCCTCTCTCTTCGATCTCTAATGGTGTAGACAAAATATTCGAGAGCGCTCTGTTTAATGTTGGGAATGGTTTCTTCCACCAGAGCCTCATGTAGAATTAATTTCACGAGAGGAGGCTTGAAACTCTCATAACCAAGTTCACCAAGACTCTTCAGAATCCGGGTGATTCTCAGATAATTATGTTGGGATCTGCAAAGAAAGATAAGTTGGATTCAAAATGACAGGACAAAAAAAATAATTATCTCAAGAGGAAAAAAATGTAGCTGAAAAATCATCACTACTTGTACCCTTGATGAAATAAGGATTGGATGTAAAGTATCCAATGAAAGGTCTTCTAGATAAGTTGCAATCATCGGTTATATGTGATGGACTATAAATCTGACAAAAGTAGAATTCCTCTTCTCTGATTGATTGATGGTCAGAGATCAATAAACAACAAAAAGAGAACTTAGAACCACATGATAAACTGGGTCTGAAACAATTGGTACTAAAAGGGGGGATATCAGGCAAATTTCTGCAAGCTATGGTTGTTGTTAAAAAGTTGGCAATCTTTTTAGTGGTTGCCATATTTGGTCTTGCAGAGGGAAATCAGAAAGCTATTAGTCAAATGACTAAGATTTCTGACAATCAGGTTTTTGCCAAATGCTATGAGTGACTGAACAGACAATTTAAAGAATATAATTCAGTGACTCAACTTCTGTGTCTGAATATACACAAATATGGTTACCATATGGAAGACTAATTTATCTGCCTAGTGTCATCCTAATAAGCAATGCATCAATTTAGGCCAATGTAAGAAACATGTAAGATATTATAAAAATATCTAAGTATTGTCCAAGAGGGATCAGTAATTGCATGATAATGAAAATGAGTAAATTTAGCTCTTGTCACTCTGAAGACCTAAATGCCAAATCCTCCATAACCAAAACCTTGATGGTCCAAAGAACGATATAGCCAAAATATACCAAATCAGAGTCAGGGTGCCTGCCTACAGATGTTCTCTAGAACATTATTTTCAATGAGAAACTGACATGGCATTTTCTTAGGCAGGTCCCAAGTGAGATACAACCATACATACTATGTAAGAGCTTTTGAGGTTGAGAGAGGAACATGAAAAAGATTTTTAAAAGTCTAGACTGAATAGCTCCCGAGAGAGAGAGGGGTAAACCCATACCTGGGCACCATATATCAGCAAGCCCATGATCTTGGCTTTATATAATTTAATGGCTGCAGGTATACAATTATTGATTGGATGGTTTGTATATTTAAGAATCCCACTAGGGGCCTGGGGGGTTCTTATTCAGCATTCATGTAACTGATTATTCCAACAGTGAAAAGTTAGAAATGAATGCTTAAATGGTAACATACCAAGTCCTTGATCAAATGCTCTAATATTAATTATTAATTGAGACCAAAACTTATTTTTGAATAGTTAATTTTAAGAGATTTTTCTAAAGCCAAAGGTTACCAGTGCTGCTAAGCATCTATAGAGCCGGTATGTGTCATAAATGGGATGGCTGCAGAATCTCCATGATTATTACTTATAAATAAGAATGGAAATTGATCAATGGGCAAAGTTAGAGGACAAAAATCAAGCTTAGCAAAGGCCATGACTATGAATATAGAAGTTAAACAACGAAGTGTATAGGTAAAAGCAGTTGAACCAGATGCTTCTGGAGAATATCTTGGTTCCAGAATAGACAGAATTCAGATCAGGTTAGGTCCAGGTTCTGTAACATTTAGCTGACAAATAGTTTAGTCTTTCTAACTTTTATGCTACTAATGAGTCAAGGACAACACTTGACTTTATTCTTCCTAAAAGAATTTGGAGAAAATTAGCACCATTGATTCATGCATTCCGTCTGAAAGGTGTCACCTCTTAAACCTACCTTCCAACATTTGTTTATCCTAGGAACACCCAATGATGCATAGACAAGCAAAGGTTATGATAATGACATCACTGTTCAAGCCAAATATCATTATCAACGAACGAGGAACAAGTATACAGGGACTCCATTATGGAAACATTATGTTTCCGAGAAGTGCCTTTCTATTCTCATACAGATAAATAATATGTATCCATGCTATATTCATCGTATTCTATGTCTTGACAAAACTGACATTACATCTCTTTTTTAATGTGGGAGAAAACATCACTATATAAAAGAAGAAAGATAAGAGTGTATCTGGCTTGGAATCAGAAAAAAAGGTGAGGAAAATAAGATGAACCTTGCCTATTATGTATACTTCTGCCTTTGATATCATTGAGCATATTCATCATATATGTACTCCTTAACTTACGACTCTTTAAAGTTCTAATCTTGGGGCTACTTACAACCTGAATTTGAAGTTTGAACGGTTGTGTTCCCCTTATGACCAAACTTTGGACATGACCAAACTTTGGACATTCAGCAACATGTCCACATTTATGTTTGTTTGTAGTGTTCAGTCACAAAACTACATTTTATTGCATTTTTGCCAAAAAATTGGCACTTACATCCAGCTTTCAGCAAAACAATGTCCATAGTGAATCAGTGGTTCACATGACCACCTTTATTTACAACCATCACAATTGATGACCAAGAAGGAAGTAAAGTATGGTAACTGCTTAGAAAAACAAACCTGGAGAGAATTGCCTGGTTTTGATACTAACAGTTCTCAAGCATTTTCTGAAGATATAACTTACTCATTCAAGTGCTGGAATCTTTCTTGCCAGTTAGCAGCTCGTGCTACATTCCCAGTTTTATCAATTAATTTTATCCCGAAAAACTCCAACATCATTTTGTAAGCTAATAGGAATCTTCGAATCGCTTCTTTCGTTTTTTTGAACTCCTGTAACAGATTGTTTTTACAAGAATGCACAAACATCAAGAGCATTAAATATATAAAATTATTCCAGTTTAAATGTTTAAGTATTAGCATTACATTATAAATTAGATGCTTTACCTCAATTTCACAGGTTGTTAATTCTTTTGCATAGAAATTCAGTCCTTGCTCTCGGAGTGGAAACAACCTACATTCAAAACAGACATACAAGTTTTTCTGAAACTGAAATGGCTTTAACCAGTTTATTAAAAAGAAATTAAAAAAATAAAAGATACCAACCACTGTATGTAGGTGTGATTGTGTTCCAACTTTTCATAATCTCCTTTCCATTTATTCAGGACCTCTTCAATATAAACCCCTATAAGTATACCAAGGAACATAACTTTCTAAATAACATTCAGGAATGAAGTGTAAACATAAGTAAAGGTAAAAATAAAATAAAAAGCATTGTTTTTAGGTTAGTACTTATTGCTAAAATGAATACATTAATATTCTTTCAATGGTTGAAGGATAAGGAAATATATGAGGTTAACTGTAGCCAAAAATCAAACAATAAGTCCTTTGCCCTTCTTTACCAGTTGAAAACCTCTAAGGTCTCTTCTACCTTCTATGATTCTAAGTACATAGACTGTCAGTGATGCAAAGCTAACTTCAGAATCATGGTGCCAAAAAAGACCTTCAGAAGAGCATGAGATTTCCTGAGACTTCTAGAGAACCTAAAGCTGAATCTCACTGGAAGGATTTTTTATCTCTTTCCTCCATTAAGTAGGACAGCAAATCCTCACTGCAGCCACATACATTGATGTTCTACGTTTTAAACTCAGGGTAATGCCTCAAGGACCTATTTTGGGGGAGAAAGTCATGATGAGAACCCTGGCAAACAAGATGAAGGAGAAATAAACGCAACTGTCTTACTAAAGCAGGGAATGCTGCGGGATATACACCTGGTGGGACCCAGAAGAAGGGCCTTCTCTGTGGTGGCTCCCTCTCTCTGGAACTTCATTCCCCCAGAGATTACAACAGCCCCCACTCTAACACTTTTCCAGAAGGCACTGAAGACCTGGTTCTGCCAGCGGGCCTCGGGAACCCAGAGGGGGATGGAGCCCATCTCATGGCTCGTGTGATCTGCTGTCGGCGGAGCTGGGGGGGGGGCGATTTTATTATATTACTAGCACAATAACCATACTTCACTATGAAACTATGTGGTCGGGCTTAGTTTTTGGGGAGGGAAAATAAGGGGAAAAAATCTGCCTCTGCCTAGCAGCATCCATTGGTATTCATCTGGCTAGTGTCCCATCAGTGTGAGAGAGTTTAGGGCTGTTTGGAAACTGAAACAATATTTGCTGGGTGAGCAAGAAGGAGACAGCAAGGAGCTGGGGTGTGGCTTATCTGTTCATCTGTTCTGTACTAAAGCTGCTTGGTGCTGTGAAACTAAAGCTGAAACTGAAACTCCTCTGCTTGTGTTTTGCATTTGGAACAGATTTCTTTTCAGATGGGGAGGGGGAGTAAAACTCCTTAGCATCAGAGTGTGTTAATAATAATATACAAAATATTAATGCTCTGATGGTCAATTCGAAAAATCCTTTCTTAGTGAGCACCTAGAAGCCAAGAGGAGCATATGTGCCAAATTTCAAGTTTGTAGGCTTTACAATTCTGGAGATGCGTGAGTGGCATCTCTCTCTCTATCCGCCCCCCCCGCTACACACACACACACACACACACACACACACAGACAGACAGACAGACAGACACATATACTCAAGTGATAAATTCAATAAATAAATTAATAAAATACTTCCATGTCAATGTACACAAGATAGAGCTATAAAGTTAAATGCAAAGTAGAACTTGTTTGGGCCATCTGATTTAAATAGATCTGAAACTGAACTACGTATAAATAATGCATTGATCATGGTACCAATTACTTACCATCAGGTTTAAAGGGAATTTTGTTCTTGTAAAAGCGGAGGTTGCACAAATCATTCTGGTATCTCAGTTCTTTAAAATTCTGCTGAGCAGGAAGGAAGACAAATGCAAAAATGCTCCATAAGAAATAGTCTGGAACTGAAATTATTACAGATATGGTTTCACATAATCCAAAATACAATTTTGCTAGACTAGACTAGACTAGAAACAAGATTGATGAGCAAAATGTAACAAGGTAAAATGGATTAAACATTTTAGGCAATTTATCAATATCACATAGATATCACAGATAAGCCAATAAAATATAGTAATAGTAAATGTATGAGTTACTAATAGAAGGTAATATTTGTGGCTCAGGGTTGAACTTGGGTTCTTTGGTGCTCTCTGAGCTTGGTTGTTTTCTTGCACACGTTTAATTACCCAGCTAGGTAACATCATCAGTGCTAGAAGGGAGAGGGCCTTGCTCTCTATTTATATGCTTGTAGCATATCTTGTCAGTGTTGGTGGGTATGTTCTTGATCAGGGGGCACCAACCTTTTGGACCTCAGGGACCACCAAACTCATAATTTTTAATCCCGAAGACCACTAATATGAATTTTGACTGACTGGTTTGCTGACGTTGGGGGGGGGGGGAGAGATCGAGAACTGATCTAACCTCTCCCTCTCCCCTCTCTCTCTCACACACACCCACATCTACACATGCACACAGAGGCAGGGATGGGATTCAAATGTCTTGACAACCGGTTCTGTAGGCATGGCCTAATTTGTGGGTGTGGCTTGGTCATGTGACTGGCTGGGCATGGTTTGTATGTAAATATTATAAATATTTATGTAAATATTGAATTTTTTATAAAAAAGAGAACAACTTTTACCCAAAATCAGGCAAAGCAGGCAGTCAGATTGAGTTGCTCACAGAATCACAGATTCATTCAGACATCTATCTTTCTGCCATCAGCTACCTGATTATGCACTGAATAATAGAAGCTTCAGTCCTAAGGAAGGTTAGGAAGATCTAAAGATTAGCTAGAAAGCAAGAAATCCAACGATTTCCTGCTTTCTAGCTAATCTAAATCTCCCAGAACAGCTGATGGTTGGGGGGGAAAAAGGAAAAATAGCAACTTAGTAGGCAAGTTTGCCAGATACCACAAGTAGGAGTGAATGGGTGGGGAGGGTTCCCGCGGACCATGTGGGCGGCGCAGCCTTGTGTTCCTGTGCAGCCTGGATTAATTGCTTTGGGGGACGCTCTGGGGGGTGACATTTCTCAACCACAATTTCCTCGCAGACCACCAGTCTTAAATCTCAGAAATATAAGAGTGTATCTATGTGATTGCTAGGAGTTGAAAACAACTTGACGACACATAATCAATCAATCTTAAACATGTTCAGAGGATAAAGAAAACCACTGAAGTTAAAGCTTGCTTTCAAGTAAGCATTTATCTCAAATAGTTGACACATAAAATAAATCGTAAAATGATTACAAGCTCTTTTCTTTTCAGCTTCTCTTTTTTTAGATTGTCATTTTTTTGGATTTCCATATGATATGTAACAGAGGCAAATTAGTAATTGCACTATAAGGGTTTGTGTTTCTTAATTTTAAATCTTGGGCTTTTCTGCAATAAACTTTTTTTTTTCAATCAACATGGAAGCTATAATAAACTTTTGTAATGCAAAACCTAAGAAATTGTAACTGTTCCCCAACTGAGTTCTCTATACAGGTGTCATTAAGAAAAACAATTAATCAATAAATATTTGGAATGCTTGTATTTTAATAACACCTATCAAAATGACAATTATGGGAGCTGATAGAATTCACCAATATCCCCCATTATCCAACTTCCAAGGTCACTATAATTTTTTCTAAAAAATTAAGGGTCTCCCATGGAACTGCAACGGGACTTAAGTTTAATACTACTTTATTTTAATAAAATCTCCCAGAATACAAAATGTTCTTACTGGATATTGATGACGATATTTATATAAGTCTCTTGCAGCATAAAAACTTCTCTTTGGTTTAGCTGTCACATCAACTGAATCATCCCCCTGAAAGAGCAAGAAAAAAAATATATCAGTGAGAAACAGCAGAATTAGCATAACCATTTAATTTAAATCCTCCTACCCGGTAATCTTCAATTTACAACCACAACTCGGACTAGAATTTCCATTGCTAAGCAAGATGGTTGTTAAGTGAGTCGAACCTGATTTTATGACCTTTTTTGCCATGATTGTTAAGAAAACGCTGCTGTCGTTAAAGTGATGGAGACTTGTTCATTTTGCTTGTTGGAAGCTACAGCTGGAAATCCCAGAACATCGCAACCATCATAGACACATCCCAGTTGAGTCTGAATTTTTGATCCCGTGACTGTGGGGAACACTGTGGCAAACCTAAGTGCGAGAATCAGCCATAAGTAACTTTTTTCAGTGCTGTTGTAACTTCAGTCACTAAATGAATGGTTGTAAATCAAGGACCACCTGTCTATGGCACATTTGGCAGCATGAACTTATACTATTTCTACATCTCCACTTGAATTATTTGTACATTCCACTCTTCCATTTCCCTACCCCACCCCGGTTCTTTTTCTCTTGTTTTTGAGATCCTCTCCAGCCATGATTCTTACATCTTCCACCCCAGATCTGCTGAAGCTTGGAGGATCTTCCAAAAGAACTCTACTTAATGTCTACCAATTCCAGATATGACTACTCCAACAAAATGTTAATGAACACCACAAGTAGGTAACATGGAAGTTTTACAGCTATGTGTATCAGGAAGATTTTTCAAGGAATCTTATTTGTCGTCAAGACCAAGACATGATGTTTCTCATTCTATGGCTCTGATAACAAGCAATGGCACTGTTCAATCTGGTTACCTTTCTCAAAAAATTACTTGAATAAACTAGCTTGGATTAAGTCTATACACTGTGCTAAATGGCATACAATGCTTATAATCCAGATTGTAACATACTAAGGTAAACAATGTAACAGAGTCGTTGATTGAAACGGATGGTTATAGAAACTGGGTAAATAATTGTTCGAGAACAACTGTCTCAATCGAGAGAGGGACTTAAGCAGGGAATCAGTCTGGACTCATTATGTAAGCACAAGAGGCCAAGATTTGACCCCCTCCTGCCAATGCATTTGAATCTTATCTACTCTTTCCCAGGTGAAAGCTACCAATTTGGGGAGGTTCCTGTGAAATAGGCATAGAACAATAAAGTAGCAATCAGACATGAGGGTCCATTTGTTCGTACCTGACATGAATCCAATTTTTATATAAACCCAGTTTGTATATAAACAAAGGTATAGATGTAAATTTTATAGGTTTTATTGTGGTGTTCCTACTTTTTGAAACAATTGTCATTATGGAAATCAGAGGACCTATATGTATCTAATTAACGTAGGAACTATCACATATTTACATTGTCATATAATTTTCATATAACTGGGACTTTGCAGACAGTCCTGTGAACTCCTGTGATCATTAAGTTGGAACAACTATGATATATAAATAAGCACCAATTTTTGAGTAATCACTGATCAATTATATTAAAAAAACGAAACCATTCTGTATTACAAGTTAACCTGACATATTTCTTTATTAACAACATTAAAAAAAACATGTAAGAATTATGTAGCATTCTTATGGTCTCAGCTCCAGATTTGGAGTTTTGAAAATATTTGTTAAAGTTCTTTTTTTCTCAACTCTTTTGCTAGAATATTAAGATACTTAGAATTCTTGTTTATAATCTGCTAGTTACTAATACTTTTTGTTCAATTGGGATGGGGTGACCTTAATACCCAAGGGAACACCTTTTTCCAAGAGTCTCTATCCATCCAACTCGATCTAATGGAATGGGCATGCTGCAGATCCCATCAGCCAAAGAGTGTCTGCTGAGGGGACCAGAAGATGAGTTTCTTCCACAGTGGCCCTTGTTCTATGAAACATTTTTCCTTTAGAGATTAGAATGGCTCCAACCTTGTCAGCCTTTCATAATCACCTTCTAATAACCTGCCTATGTTCCTGTGTCTGTGGTGCTGAATGTATCAAGGGCCCCTCTGTTTCCTAGCTTTATTGCTAACTGGCCAAATATCTTGGCTGCTATGTATATTAATTTTGGATTTTATTTTTTATTGTTTTAAAATGTTTTTAGTATTTTAATGATAATATATTTTTGAATTGTAAACCACCCAGAGTCATTGACTGAGGTGAGCAGCTACAGAAATTGAAGGACAGAACGAACAAACAAACAAACAAACGAATGAAGTGACCATTTCTGGTACTGAAGCAGCATAATAAAGCTAACTAATTGTTCATGGATAGTCAAATGCTACAATTTACATCAACTTAAAGGAGCTTTGTGATCTGCGTGAGTCCAAATGATGTCATTCAATACCTTCCTATAACTAAGGTATTCTAGACACCCTAAGTACCTCATAACATGGAAATATGACAGAACTGATGCTATAAATGGAATACAGGTAGTTCTCGACTTATAACAGTTCACTAAATGACCTTTCAAAGTTACAATGACACTGAAAAAAGTGACTTATGAGGGTTTTTCACACCGTTCCAGCATCTCCATGGTTACGCGATCAAAATTCAGATGTCATATTTATGACAGTTGTAATGTTCCGACATCATGGGATCACTTTTTGTGACCTTCTGACAAACGAAGTCAATGGGGAAGCCAGATTCACTTTACAACTGTGTTGCTAACCTAACAACTGCAGTGATTCACTTAACAATTTTGGCAAGAAAGGTCATAAAATGGGGCAAAACTCTTTTAACAACACACGTTTCACTTAGCAACAGAAATCTTAGAATCAATTGTGGTCATAAGTTGAGGACTACCTGAACCAATAACTGTAACTGAAAACAATTATTATCCATGGAAAAAATCATATAGTAATAATTTATAAGATTGGATGTGATATTGATTTATTGAATATGTATGTTGTCTATATCACCAGAGGTGAAAGATTCAATTTTTTTTCCTGCTGATGTTTGGTTTGTGTCAATAGAGCAGCTACCCCTTTCTCTGTTCTGGAGGTTTGGAGATCCTTCAGAATGGATCTCAGAAAGTATGAGTTGAATTACAAAGAGGTCAGGAGAAGAAATCATATTGTGCATTAACAGTGTATTGCAGGGTGTCAAACTCGTGGTCTGTGGGCCGGATGTATCACGCACTGGCCACGTCTACCCCTGGTTTAGCAAAGAGTGGGGGGAAGTCACAATATATCAAATGATGACAATGTGACGCTGCAAGTTTGACACCCTTGTCATATTGGAATAAATTTAACACACACTCATTTCTGGAGAAGGGTAAAAGCAGTTTTAGAGAGGAATATATTGTATGAACCTTGAAACACAGAAGAGCAATATATCTCAGTGCACCTGTTCCCCTACTCAAAGCTAACTTGAATAAATCGTCACATAAAACATAAAACAACAGGTAGAAGTAGTTTTATTGTGAACAGGTAGTTCACAAAAGAGTGTTTCATTTCCTTATTATACTGGGGACCTCATTTTAATATGTAAGTAAGTTATGAGTGTATGACTGACACACTGGACCAAAGCATTAACTATTCCAAACCAATTCAAATGTTCAAAATTTTTGCACCGTTCATTTCCTGTTCTATTAACACACACACACACACACACACACCTGTAATTCCACATTAATTTTTATAATTAATGGTGATTGGGATCACCAATATTTTCTTTACAGCATCTATAGAATAACAAACACTTTAAAAATAAGCGTCTTTCTCGTATTCTTGAAAACCTGCTTAAATACTTGATACCATTCAATCTCCTGCACTCAGCTGATATAGGCAGGTTTGGTTAGGAGACCACTAAGAAGGAACAAGGTTGTAGGCTAGATTGCAAAAATTAAAAACCTACCCCAGGAAAAAAAACCAATGGGGACCAAATTATGTACAGTTGCCAAGAAAATTACATGAATGTGTCTATGAAACTACCAGTGGAATTCGGTTTGAAGTAACTTTTCCTCCTAACAAGAATGATGTTGCAAATATTTTATCCAACAAGAAGAAAAAGTCCTTAAGCAAAATAATGTACCGTATATGTCCTAGTGACTGAATCCATATCTTTGCTTATCTTTCATACTGAGCATGTGGGACTGATGACGACAGTCAAATTAAATTTCCCAAACTACAGGTAGCCCTTGATTTACAACCATTCATTTAGTGTCCATTTGAAGTTACTACAGCACTGAAAAAAGTGACTTATGACCGTTCTTCACACTTAAAACCGTTGCAGCATACCCGTATAGTTAGATGATTAAAATTCGGACAGTTGGTAACTGGTTCAAATTTATGACAGTTGTATTGTCCGGGGGTTAAGTGATCACCTTCTGTAACCTTCTGACAAGCAAAGTCAATGGGGAAGCCAGATTCACTTAACAATTGTGTCACTAACTTAACTACAGTGATTCTCTTAACAAGTGTGGCAAGAAAGATCATAAAACAGGGCAAAACTCTTTTTAACAACTGTCACGCTTAGCAACAGAAATGTTGGGCTCAATTGTAGTCATAAGTCAAGGACTAATTGTAGCTATTCCGATGGCTTCAAGACATTAATTAAATAAGATGTCTGTCTGTCTGTCTGTCTGTCTGTCTGTGTGTGTGTGTGTTTGTAAGTCAAGTCCGTCTGGTGACTTAAACTGACCCTAGTCCAAGAAATACTTTGAGTAAAATATTTGTAAATATTAAATACACTTGCATGAAGACTTTAAATGATCAAAGTAGCTATTTATGTTTACGAAAGAATATGCAACTGCCTATCCAGAATCAGGGTTGTTGTTTTCTGAAGTTAGTAACATTCACACAGACTTCAGCTGGGGTTTGGTTCAGAGCTGCAGATTAGGAAATAATAAGCACCCTTACAGTGCAGTCCTACATACAGTATATCTATTCAGAAATCAGTCACATTATTTTCAAGAAGGCTCACTCCCACGTAAGTGCACACAGGCCGGCATCCTTTCTGTTTTAGTGGTTCTTCTTTTCATTAGTCACACTTCTATTCTTAACCACATTGTATTAGATAAAGCACTTTAATCATTATCCATCATTTTTAAAGATTGGAGCCTCCCAGAGATCCAGAATAAAGCTGAGAGAGAGGTTTGCATCTCTGCATCTCAACAAATATTCAGCTAGTCAGGAACTTTACCAACTGCATAAGAAGATATCCAGGCAAACTAATACTACTGCATTGTTATGTATCGTGTATTGTATCACATTATAATCTTACTGTTTCTGTAACAGTTTTATTAGTCTTCCTTTACAATTTAAGTAACACTAATTATTTTTCTCATTATCTAGAGTTGTTGAGAGTTGGGCAATGTTGAATTAAAATATCTATTGATCTATCTGTCTATCTCAAACACCTTGGAATGAAGACTTTTATGCATATGTTTAGACACTTTCTTGGGGATGCATCTTTTAAGAAATATATAGTTACTAGCTCGATACCGGTGCTTCGCTATGAAACTATGTGGTCGGGCTTAGTTTTTGGGGAGGAAAGTAAGGAAAACAAATTCTGCCTCTGCCTACCAGGATCCATCGGTATTCATCTGGCTAGTGTCCTGTCAGTTTGTGAGAGAGTTGAGGGCTGTTTGGAAACTGAAGCAGTATTTACTATGTGAGCAAGAAGGAAACAGCAAGGAGCCTGGGCATGGCTTAGCTCAACTGTTCTGTACTAAAGCTGCTTGGTGCTGTGAAACTAAAACTGAAATTCCTCTGCTTGTGTTTTGCATTTGGAACAGATTTCTTTTCAGGTGGGGAGGGGGAGTATTAGAGGGGGAGTATGCTCCTTAGCATCACAGCATGTTAATAATTATATAGGAAATACTAATGCTCTGATGGTCATTTCGAAAAATCCTTTCTTAGCACCTAGAAGCCAAGAGGCAAACTAATACTGTTATGTGCCAAATTTCAAGCTTGTAGGCTTTACAGTTCTGGAGATTTTGTGATGATGTGTGAGTGATATTTCGCTTTTATATATAGAGATTAATTACTAAAGACATAGGTAATACCAATCTTTAGCTATAAACTGTGTTTATTTTCTCAGAATCTCTGGGCAGTGGTTATTTTCAGTGGCAAGGTTTCTACTAGATCCTGCCCCTTACAAACTAGTATGTGTAAGTGAAAGAAATGATTGAGGATTACAACAATATGATTCTAGTACTATTAACATTATGCAAGTGGATTTAAAATGATTACTGAAATTCAAGGGTGTGCCAGGAGAGGGGTAGCAAATTTATAATGCCAGGCTAAGTTTTGCCTGAATAATGCCAAAGTCCTTGAGCCTAGTGCAAATAGAGTTCCATAGATTAATTGCTATAGTCAATTCAAGTCAAATGAAAGTTCAAATCTTGAAGAGTTCAAATCTTGAAGACTTCGTGGACTCATCTAGGAAATTTTCTCAATAGCAACTGTGTACGTTGCTATTGTATACTTATATCCTGCCTTTCTACCCATCACCAAAAGGTGAATTATTTAAAGCAACTATAATGTTAACAAAAAAGGACACAGTAACTTAAATATACTTATGTTTGTGAAGGAGAGCTAAGAGAAGTAGTTGCAAAGGAACTCATAATTCAGTGTAGAAATTATATTTTCAAAATTAAGTTTTCTTATACCTAAAATTCAAATTTAGAAACTACAATATAGTTTGAAAACTGCACAGTATAATTTTCAAGTTTAATAAAACCAAAACCAAAATAGATGTTTAGAGAAGATAGAACTGCTCAAAAATAATGATTACATAATAGTGAAAATTTTGTAGTATAGCCTTTATAGAATGTTTTTTTTCCATATTTTAAGAGAAAATGGTAATCTGAATTCTATCATCCCATAAAGATTTATTACTATATATTTTGTCCTTTGCTAAATTCCAGAAATGTTTTAATTTCATTAAATTTAGCGGGGAGTGTGTGTGTGTGTGTGTGTGTGTGAGAGAGAGAGAGAGAGAGAGAGAGAATCTTGAATGTAATGTGTGTATGAAAATCTTGAATGTAAAGCTCTCTGAAATTTGGCCCTGTGTGTCTTAACTCCTATATTTTTTACAGAAGTCATCATACAGTGCTATATTCAAATAGTCAAAATAGACATTTTGCAATTATTTTCTTTTAACACGTTAAGATTGTGAATTGAAAACACTACTGAAAGCTGACTTCTTGCTAAAGAATTTCCCAGAAGACTACAGAAATAAATATATATCCATTCTTTTTAAAGAAAAGGAACCATCAGAGAATTTGATAAAAGCAGAAAGAGGGAACAGCAATATATTATCTCTTGAAGTCTGTTCTATTAAGTTATTTTAGTTCTATACAGTGAAAGTCATGTCGGTCGGGTAGGTAAAAGCCTAGAAACGGTTGCTCTCAACGAGACCCTCAAGTATATTTAGTTCTGAAACTGCATTTTGCCTTCCCACACATCATTCTCTGAAGTAGAGGTTGCAGAGGGAAAGCAACTTGGATTGGGCATGAATTGTGATTCTTAATGTTAACAACCACCACAATCTTTTCAAGAGACACCAGGCCGGCTTCTTCAGTCTGTCAAGAAGGAAAGCAACAAACCCCAACCCCACTCCACATAGTTCCTCTTTCCACAACCGTGCCTCGAGAGCAACAGGAAAGGAAAAAAACCAAACCCAGACGGAATGACCGGCTGGAGTAAGAGATGGCCAACTAACCCCGCGCTCCCGATATTTTCCTCTACCTCTCCTACCCGTCGAGCCCGTTTTCTAACACCGAGGCGGGGGTGGGGGGGGATGCCGTAGACACGCCTAGCTTCCAAGTCACCAAAGCATGCAAATATTTAAAGGGGTGCGGAGGGAGGAAGCGAAGGGGAAAAGGTGAGGAAGCAGGGGCAAGGGTGAAAAGGAGCCAAAAATGAATGGCGCCGGGCAGCTTTTGTAACCTTGGCTTCCACGAGCCCTCATCCGCACGCCCGTACCAGGAAAGTGATACTCAACCTTGGAAGGGAGCACAGCGCTGCCAAGGTGAGGGCCAGTGGCCCCGTCCAAGAGGCGCCCAGGAAGAGCTCCAGCGCGCCCCTCTCAGCCCGCCAACCCCCCCCCCCCCGCGGCAGAAGTTTGCAAGGGTCCCGGGTTACCTGCTCGGGCCCGGGGGCTTCGGTCTCTCCCTGCTCCCTGCCCTCAGCTTCGTCTTCTTCGGCCACCCCGTCTCCTCCTTCCTTTTCCTCCTCCTTCTCCACCACCTCCTCCTCTTCCTCAGCAGCCCCTTCGCGCTTCTCGGCGGCTTCCGGCCGGCCGCCTGCCGCAGGGAGCGGTTCCTCTGACTGCTGCTGCTGCTGCCGGTCAGCCGCTGGGTCGTCGCCGTCGCCGCCACCGCCCGCCTGTTCCAGCGGTTGCCCTTCTTCCCCGCCTGGGTCCTGCAGCTCCGGCTCCGAATCCGTCTCCCAGGTCGAGTCACAATCCTCCACCGTGGTGGGCTCCTTGAAGCTGACTCCGCTCAGCAAACTGCCCATCGGGGAAGCGCTGCGGGAGCCCGGCGCCCCCCTTGCTTCTTCTTCTTTTTTCCCCTTTCCCCTCCGGAGACGCAAAGGGGGCGCGCGTGGGGAAGCGGGAAGATCGGCCGGCTCGGAAGGACGCTGCTCCTGGAGGCCGGGGTGGGTGGGTGGGTGGCCGAGCCGGGACGCCACAGCCGAACGGCAGAAAGCGACAAGGAGGTCGGGGAGGAGGAAGGTGGGGGGGGGGGGGGGGCGGTCAGACGCAGAAGGCAGAAGCGACAACAGCCAACGCGCTCTGCTCCTTCCTCCCTTCCTCAATCCCCAACCCGCAAACACGCGCGGGGGTGGGGGAAGAATCGAGAGGAGGAGCTGAATGCTCCGGGATTTCCACAGGAAATACTGAAGCCGGCCCTCCCTTGGCCGCTGCTGCTCCTGTAGCAGCAGTAGCAGCAGGTGCCGCCTGAAGGAGGAAGCCGAGCGGAGCGCCTCGCCGCCGAGCAAGTGGCGGAGGTGCGAGGCGAGTTTCGGCGACACGCGTGCCGTGGCCGCCTCTGGAACTTCGCTCCCCCGCCCGCCGCGACTGCTTGGAGGCTGAGGCTGTAGGCCTCTGACAAGCCTCGGAGAGCCCGAGAGAGAGGAAGGAAGGGAGGACGGGAAGGAGGCGGTGTTGCCAACACCCATCAGCCCCTCAGCAAGCTGGCTGCGCCTTCTTTTCCCTCCCGCCTTGAATCGCGTTAACTTCTAAGGAAAGACCTGCTGGTCCCCACGCACAGGAAAGCAGGGGCGCCGAGTGGGACACTTGAATCCCTCGGGCGATGGAGTTTTGAGAGTGTGTGTATGTGTGTTTGTGGCGAGGGTGGGTGGGTGGAGATCTTAGGTGGAGGTGCTGGGAATCTGGAAACGCAGTCCAACTTTGGAGGCAAAAAGGCAGCAGGAGCGCTTTTTATTGGCAGGGCTCTTCCCGCGCCTACCTCTAACTCGGTGGGTGGGGAAATCAACAGGTGCATCTTCGTGCTTGGAAAAGGAGAGTTTGTTGTTAACCTACAGCTGTTAAAATGTGGGGAGGGACAGCTTGAGCTCTGCACGGCTTCCAAATATTGCCTTTTAATTAACGGCCCTGCTGTAACTTGCCCCACTACTCCTTCAGCAACAATAACAATTCATTACAGAAACTGGAATGGTGGTGGGTTTTTTTTGTTTTTGTTTTTTTGGAGTCTGTTCCAATATGCAGATTTTTCTTCCCAAGTGTGGTTATCCATGAATAGGGGGGAAAGAAATCGAGGAAGAATGCAGAAATACGGCATCCATCTATCTTGGGTTCAAAATAGCTAGCACGTCAGAAAGGTATTTAAGAAATTGGGCAAGATTAAACTAGATAGATATTTGAGCGGCTACTATCATCAAATCCCAAGGCTAGATTGGAAACTAAAAATACCCCCCTCCCTTTTCATTGGTATGCCCATGAAGTCCCCAGATGTCAAACTATTTAGTAGGCAGCTGCTGGAATGCCTGTTAAAACACAGAAAGCAGATAACATTTACCTGGCATGATGATGGTGGAGAACTCCACACTAAGAAATCCTGAAATCATCTCTGAATACCAGCTTCACTACTGCTGATGTGGCCTGGAATCCATTGGTAATTCTAGAGTGTATATAAGATGACCGTGATGAAAATCTAAGAACTGTTACCTAGATAAACAGGGCTGAAATATAAAGGAAGCATGCATAAGTGCACCAGTGTGCCTACCATCTCTGTCTTACTGTCCCCATTTATCTGTATTTACTTCTTTTCAGTTTATGTTCATACCTATACTTGTTATCTTGCACATGTTTGACAAACAAATAAAATAAAATAAATTTTGTAGGTCCAGAGCAATGAGATCAGTCAGGGGTTAGTCTCTGTTCTCTTTGTATAATTCAGTAAATATTTATATATTTGCTTTGGCTTCTCTCTTTTCTGTTCTCCTTTCTAGAGGAAACCTCAGACAAAGAAACCATTCAGGACTAAGGATATAATCTTGTCTCTGGGAGAACATGCCAAGAAAAATATGATAATTTGGATATCTTTCTGTAGGTAGAGAGAGAGAGATCTACAAACCTTGCAAATCTCTTCTGGAAGACTTGAGTCTGGGAGGGAGGGAGGGAGGAAGGAAGGAAGACATTGTCTCTACAGATAATATTTGCCTTGCTGGAGGCAATTAAACAAAATTAAAACAAAACAAAACACTGCATTACAGTTACAATTCTTCTACTTAATCTGTTCAGTTACTAGATATTGTGTTTTATATAGATTAGCAGTTTCTTAACTCCTAAACAATAAAATGAAATCTGAGAAGGAATATCTGGTTTGTAATACTTAGGAACAATTTGAGAAGTTATTAAGAAGCTTTTGTAAAGTCAGGCTGACTATGAATCAAATAAGATCTTTTTAAGTTACATTTGGATGTTTACTCTTGGTCTTGTGAAATCTGTGAAAGACAGAGATGTCCCATGGGTTTTTGGAAAATCATTGGCCATCACTTTACGGAGGCTTGCATTTTTATGGGCCTTTATGTTGTGAACCACCAGTGCCAGGAGTTATTTTTATTGAATCCATTAATATAGAAACATAATGAGTAAATAAAGAAATAAGCAAGGGTGCACACACAGAGGTAAGAACTAGATATTTATATGATAAAAATTATATCCATATGAAGGGATCGGGAGGCAATAATACATTGTTAAATATGTCCTTTTCTAAAAAAAAATTGGGCTCCTTCAAGTCAGTTTTTTTTACTCTGGATGACTGTATGAACTAGTCCTTGCAGTTCTCTTGGCAAGATTTTCAGTAATGGTTTTCTATTGCCACTTTCCTACGGCTGAGAGAGCTTTGTGCTTAAGGTAGGATTAGAATTCATGGCCTCCTGGTTCCTAGCCTTATGCCTTAAAAGCTACACCAAGCTGGCTTTCTAGCATGTGCTATAACCCAATAGAATTAGTGGAAATACAGTTAATACAATTTTTACACAATTGCAAGAGATACTAAATGCAGCATTAAGAGACAATATTGTATTATAATAGGTAATTAAATGCAAACCTTGTAATAATGGAAGAATTTTTAGTCACACAAACATTTGGAAGGAGCCAATGCAACAATGCAGGCAGTAAGTCATTAGAATTTAATTAAGATTATTCTTTATCCTCAGTAAACATTTGTGGACAAACTCTACACATGAACATCACTAAAGGACAACATTAGAATCAAGATGGATATATAAAAGAAACAAGTGGAGAAATCCAATCCATTCAGTTAAGACACTTCAAGGGAAAGATAGTGGAATAGACCATGACTTACTAATATAAAAATATTTGAGTTAAATTAAGAGGTATCTGGGGGCACATATGTAGTTGATTTGTGGAGCCTTACTGGTATATTAAAACAAAATGTGGAATATCACTCAAAAAAAAAAAAAAGATAAAGTACTATAAGAAAACAGGATTTTTTTAAAAAAGTGGTTCAAAACAAGGATGCATATTGTTTCCACATCTGGTTACCTTAATAAAATAAACATAAGAACCACTAGTTTGGAAGAGGTGACAACTTGAATCAAAATTAGAGGTCAAAAATATTGGCAATACATAAATGACATCACCTTGTTAGCTGAAAATGAACTATTAGAAGAACTCTTTATGAAAACAAAAGTGAAACACTGAGATTAATGTTAAAAGTTAAGGTGGCAAATGTAATGTCAATCAGCAAGCTTAGTGAATTCACTGTTGATAATTTTATTTTGAAGATGCTAGACAATTTTATTTTGAAGGTGTTAGACAATTTTATTTTGAAGATGCTAGACAATTTTATTTTCTCGAGTCAAGAATATTAAAAAATGGAAGTGTGTTAGAAAAGGAAAGAGAAATAATTCCTTGAGGAATGCAATGACAGACAAGTTAATAGATGATAAAAATGTTTAATTGGCAACAAAGACAGTGTTAGTACTGATTTTTCCAATGGTACCATCTGATTGTAAAAGATGAACATTTAGAATGAAAGAAAGAACATAGATGACTTTAGATTATGGATTTGGAGACACTCACCAAGACTAGCATGGACTGCAAGAACAACCAATCAACCTGGATGAAATAAAGGCTGGCCGACTGCCCCCTTGAGATAATTATCAGCAAGTGGAAATTCATATACACTGGGCATGTGCTGCAAGCAAATAATAACTTGGGCAAAATGACTGGAAAAGTGGAAAGTAGAAAAAACAATGGCTAAGGTGAATTTGCTAAATGTCTTTGGAAGGACTGGCTTATTGTTAGGGGCAGGAATACTACTGTATCTTAAGTATTCAGGTTTTGCAGTATCTGCAATAATTTGCATCTTGTGTTAATTTTCAATAGTTCTGTTCTTATCCTTTTTTCTTTTTTCTTTTGGTTCTAAGGTAAGATTACCCTTTTCCCCCAAATCACAAATAGTTTTTTGAAGGAGAAAAAAAACCCTCATCTTCCTTTTGGGTAAATATTGTATACTGAGATTGTCTAGTTCCAGTCTTTGCTTTTAAGAAATAGAAAAAAATAAATACATTTTATTTTGATCTTGACATGTCCTTTTTCATGGCTGGGCTCAGCTTATTGAATTCCACTCATGCTCGTCTTCAGGTCCCCCAGTTGTCACCAAAACCATTGCATGAATTCAATATTTTAATATGACATGTTCTCATTAAATAGTTATTATCTCATCTCCAGCCCACAACTCAGCCAGGTTAAAGTTTTCAACTGTACCATTTTTTTAAATACCATTTTTAATATTGTATTATGCAATTTTTGTTGTCAGCATGATCTAGCACGCTTCATCTACAATGTGATTGACGATGTCGTAAGGAATTGGGATCTGTTTAGGTCTATTTGTTATGCTAGCCTACTGTCAGCTCTTGAGGTAGGCCAGGTCAGGGAACAGACAAAGCACAGACTACCAGAACTCTCTAGGGCAGTGGTTCTCAACCTGTGAGTCACGACCCCTTTGAGGGGGGGTCTAACAACCCTTTCACAGGGGTCGCCTAAGACCATCAGAAAACACATATTTTTGATGGTCTTAGGAACCGAGCCATAATTTTATGGTTGGGGGTCATCACAACATGAGGAACTGTATTAAAGGGTTACGGCATTAGGAAGGTTGAGCACCATTGCTCTAGGGGCTGTGATGGCTCAGCAATTAAATAAATTGACCTTATCAGTTGGAAAGCTTATAGCTTAGGTTTGAGACCTGAGCACTGAGTGGTGGGGTGAGCTCCTGTTACGTGACTCAGCTCCTGTCAACCTAGCAGTTCAAAAGCATGCAAATGCGAGTAGATAAATAACTACCACTGGATAAATAACTACCCCTTTGGTGGGAAGGTAACAGCATTCCTTGTGCCTTGGCATATACTTCACCCTAGCTATGTGCCTATGGAAACATCTTTGGGCAATACTGGTTCCCTTCGCTAAGAAATGGAGCGCCATCCCCTAGAGTTGGACACGACTGGACTGGAGAATCTTTTACTTGAACTCTATTGTTATAGGGTACAATAACCAACTCTCAAAAGCGTTCCAGTTTCTCTCACCCCTTCTAAAACCAAACAGAATCAAGGTGGGGTTATTCTGAGTTTCTCATGTGTTCTCGGTATTGAGTTGTCATTTATCCCCAAAGTACTTTTTCAAGAGGCAACTGAACTTTCTGGTTTTTCTTTCACTTCTCATCCAAGAAGCTTCTTCAGCTCTGATTGGATGTGGGGAATGGAAGGATTTATATTCCTTGCAGACAGGTGGTCATTTGCATTCTATTTAGCAAGTCTTTGAGGCCATTTGGAGGTGTATCTGTGTTGGGTCAGGGTCACCTGAGTAGTGCAAATGGGTGTGGAGCCTTTTTGGCACTGTTGAAAGGACTGTGTTATAGACTGGAGATGGATGATGTTGTATCCCTCGCCTCTGTTGAGAGAGGGCTGTTCAGTTTTGACATAGATGGCCTCTTTGACCCCTCTTTCAAACCGGTGGTCTGCTCTGTCCAAAATGTGACCTGTGAACCAGAGGGTAAAGGGGGTAGCTTGGTAGCTGTAGAAGGGTGCAGAGATATGCAAAATATGGATATCATTTTATCTTAAAGTTCATTGCTTGGAAAGCCAGATGTGCACATTGGATTTGGCATTTTTATCACCTATTGAGGCCTTCCCAAGAACTTGAGATAAGCAGATGTTGATGTTTGTTTGAGGTATTGTCACAGGATGTAAGCTGTTCCAAATAAAGCTGTCTTTTGCAATTGGTTGACAGTGAATTTGATAATGCCAATTAAAATGTTTATATTAATATAATATTTATATTATTATTTATATATTATTGTTTCTATGCCACATGCTTGTTGCATTGAGTATATACACATTAAGGTGAGATTCATCTTTAAACTTCAACCTGCTTTTTTCCAAGTTTGACAGCTAAACAAAATCTATAGCCATCTCTGCCGTACAAGGTTAAATAGAACAACTGGTTGTTTTTCTGATTAGTAAGTCGGAGGGAAAGAAAGTTGTGAATTCACCAGTTGCTTTTCTTACTTGTCCCTCATTAAACAGCAAGAATGGTACCACCTAGTAGTCTCATTAACAAGATGCAAGAGGTGTTGGCAAAGAGGGCAGCACAATTTATTTTGGCATAATTTTCTGCCAGTCCACAGGCCAAAGGACAACATTTTAACAGAAGCCATATGGCTGCACCCTTAGATGACAGAGAATTAAAACAGCTTGTTCTATTCTATTGATTTCTTTATTTGTTCTGAAGATATAATGGATTGTGGGTTTTTTTAAATCTTAGATTATTTTCAGGTTGTCTTTATTCTGGCTTATATGCATGTGTATAAAGTATGTGCACGTTTGTACTGTAAATGAAGTTACATTGTTTTGTGTTAGCAGTTAGATTTACTGTGTCACTATTGCTAATTCGTATACAAAGATTAATTTCCAAATGAATTTATTTAAATTAACCATTCCTTAAAAATAAAACAGAATATGAATGAATTAATTGTATAAGCAATATAATCAATGACTTATTCTCTCTGTGTGTATCTGAGTCTCTGTGTGTGGAGCTTATTTATACTGTAGGATCTTCTCACAATTGTTTAAAATTACCCCAGGTTCCTCAAAAAGGATCATAAAATCATGTGGACTATTTAACAATTGCTAAGATATAGTTAGTCCTTGGGTTACAAGGGC